TCTTACTGCTTTTTATGTCCATACTTACGTCATTCCATAGTTTTACTCCACTTATTGAAATACAGAATCTTTTTTTGGTAGTACGTATAGCATGAATTTTTAAATTTAACTGACCCCTTAAATTGTATCCCCCTTCCCTTTCATCAAATAGTTTTTGAATACCACCAGGTAATAAATCTTTCCTGGCTTTATACATAAACACAGCAGTCTTATATCCCACTAAGTCAAAAAATTTTAACAATTTAGACTGTATGAAAGCTCCATTGGTGTGATCCCTGTACCCCAGCTTATGCACAATTCTTATCGCTCTTTTTTGTAATATATACAATGGTTGAAGTGAGCTTTTGTATGTATTTCCCCAGTTTTTTACTATGACACCTAGAAATTTAATTTCATGTACTCGTTCTATACTGGCTCCCCCTATTTTCACTTGCAATTAGTTATCTAGTCTGCGATTCCCAAATACCATCAATTTAGTTTTATCCATATTCATGGATAGCATATTACTATCACACCATTTCTTTATCTTCTCAAGTTCCTGTGAAACTTGTCCCGATAGTTGCTGTGGGTTATCCCCTGATGCCCATATCATAGTGTCATCGGCAAATAAGACCATTTTCACAAAAGCCAAAACCTTGCACATATTGTTAATGTATAATATGAATAATTTCGGTCCCAAGACTGAACCTTGAGGCACCCCACATACAATGTCCAGTTCACTCGACTGATGTTCACTCAACTTCACAAATTGGCGCCTCTGCAAATAACTACTAATCCAATTCAAAGCCACTCCTCTGATCCCGTATTTTTTTATCTTGCACATTAATAATTCATGGTTGATTGTGTCAAATTGCTTGTTGATATCAGACTGTGGCTGTACTATCTCCAGTGTAAACTACAAATTTGCCACAATAAGGAAAAGATGCTTTCCCTTCAATACCACATGGGATACAGCCAGATTAACTAGGTACTTTTCCCTAGGTCTCTGTTAAGACCCCATCAACACATGGGCTTCTACCAACAAACATCCTGTCCAGGCTACACACAAATCTACCCATACCTGATCACAACCATTTTAAAGTTATATGTTATCTATCATCTTGTTTCCTTGTTTATCTTTGTAATTCAATTCAATTTAAGAACATTTATGTGTCCCCCAAGGGACAATCAGAGGCAGACAGTCTGCAAACAGAGCAACTCACCTACAGACATGAGAACAATCCAAAAATACAAACATTTTAAAGAGTTAAAATATAGCAAAGAAAGAGGTAAAATACACACAGATCCAACAGTAGCCAGTTGGCCAACAAAGAACAAACACAACAAGAGGTATTATGTGTAAAAAAAAAAAAAAAAAAAAGCACAAATTATAAGTGCATTTATCAGTCAGTACACAAGGCAAACTGATCATTTCTTGTACTGTGACTTATGGAATAAAACCAAACATCCATCTATTTGCTAATCTAAAATGCATTCCTGAAGGCATTAGTCATAGAAGATGTGTCAATGGTCTTATGCCTTGAGGACTTAGCGATGAGCTGTGCTAGGGATCTCTCTCTCTCTCTCTCTCTCTCTCGCTCTGTGTGTGTGTGTGTGTGTGTGTGTGTGGTTGTAGCCCATGTTAGAGAAAACCTCAGCCAAGAAAATATTATTCCATCAGAGCATGATAAGGCTACAACTAATAGGTTAACTATTTTCTTTTTTTAATAAGTCTGATAGTCATTTCCTTTATAATAGATTGACTATTCAGTATATAAAAAGTCAGAAATAGCAGAAATGCCTATTTCCTTAACCCGACATTAACATTTTAAAATATCTTGCCTGAGCAATAGTCAAAAAAAAAATGAAAACTGCTGAGTTAGCTAACATAGAAACCTGAAAAAATGAAAATATTCACATTTGAGAAGATATTAACATTAAATTAAAGCATTTACTTAAAAAACGCAGACTTACAACAGGTCAATACGCCCATGTTCCCATTTACTCGCTTTTTAGGTGAACAGGTTCATTTCTCAACCACATAAATTCTGACCCTGTCGGGTTTCCGTATATCGGGCGGAAGTAGTAACGTGTGAATAATATTTCGCGGGAGAGTTCTTATTAGAGTTAGGCTGTCTTCTGCCAGTACGGACGATAACTGTTATTAAATCTATAACGCAATGAGTCTGTGGGTGGATAAATATCGACCGACTTCCCTCGGGAAACTCGACTATCATAAAGAGCAAGAGGTTCAGCTGAAAAACCT